GAGGGGATTTGATGCCTGAGACTTCCCCCCTGTCGGGCTTTTGATCGTGCGCAGCGACCCCGGGGTCGGGACATTTGACTTTGACCGATAAAAGCCTGGTATCAATTCAGAATCGATAACCAAGTCCGTCCCTCGAGGCTTTCTGAAAGTCATGCTGTTGGAGAAAGTTATGAAGTTTTCATTTCTTTTAATCGCCATAATCCGATACTTTACACTGTCATCTAAACAGATAATGTCTATTTTGAAAAAGTTTTTATCTTCAAGTTCCCATCTGATTGTAAACCTCGATTGAGATCGAATTCTACCATGAAAGTCAGAGGATTTTTTGCAGGTCACTGATCCGACCTATTCCGACATGTTGAGCCGATGTTATAAAGCATTTTACGTTTCATTAATATAATAGCACGATCAATCTTCTTGGAGTGATTATGTTGTTCAAAATAAGAGATGCTAGTGGAGACAGAAAATACTTAATTACAGCGAGTAATTTAACGGAGCTTACGTTAACCTTAGATAAAAGTAGTAAGAACTTACTTTTGAAATGTTCTTTCATTCGTTTTATATAGTATTACAGTATTGTTTGTTTAGATTTTGCCCCTGGGGTGGGGGCTTTTTTGACACTTTTGATTGACCTTTCGTTTCCCACCCTGGGGAATTTGATCCAAAAATTTTAAAATTTGTCAAATCCCCACCCCTTGCCCGCACTCCCCCCCCCCACGGGGTTTACATTGATAGGTGCATAATTTTCAAAAAAGTCAAATGCCCGGGGGGTTGCCCGGGGGGGCATGTTGAAGCTTCGATTTGACCGATACATAAATTATTTCCCTTTCAAAACAATTGCCAGAGGGGGATTTTGCATTGACCCCTGTTGTATTCGCTATAGTATAGGTTATGATATGTTATCGATCGATTCCAATTTAAGTTAAAAACATGGGATATAGAGCGCGATCTTGATCAAATATATTCCTTGTTATCTTTTCGATTTTTACAAAAGCCGCACGGCACTCGAGATTATCTCCGCAAGACAATAGCAAGTGCCTGAATAAAATAGATCTTTCATCTTTATGGCTTTTAAATCGGTCAGGGTCCCAACCTTCTTTTGAGTTTCCTTGATAGTTGGTTAAGAAGACTACTGCCTAGAAGCGCGGTTATATTGAAAAATACGTTAACCTAATTTATGCATTAGGTTCGGCACATGTTGAAGTTCGACGTTTGAACCGGGCCCAGTCGAGAACTTTTTATAATGGCATTAAGCTTACAGCAATTACCGGGCTGCAGTTTTGTCAAAGACTACTGACTTTCACATTGACTACTGGCTGCATCCATGCAGTGATCGATGTTTTATCAAAGAAGCAACCAAGTGTTTGAATCTTGATTTGTGCTATGAAAACAAAAATAGTAGTAGGATGTACTTACCTTTGAAAGCTATGACGACGAGTATAAGCACGAATGACCTAGCTGTCGACATATCAGTTTATGCGGGATATAGGTGACAAACGTCTCTAATCTCAGAACCAAGTGAAACAATTCGTAAAGACTTCAGACAATTAGTTTTTGATGTCATTCTTCAACGATAAGAAACCTTTTAAAGTTGATTTAAGCCGAAAACTGTCAAAATTAACCAATGAAGCAAACGTAGATTTTTATCAGTCCTTGTGCAAATAGATTTCTTTATATCATTGTTCTAAGATTCCAGAGTAGTTGCGTTTGGGACGTAAACCGAGTTCGTTGTGATTGTGAGAGGAAAATTATATGTGTTAAATCCAAGCAACTGTGAGTGTTTTTTAAGGGAGTTTTACCGGGAAAATCATTGGGTTGGTGGCAATCGCACGATTCGCAACATTATGTTAAGATGATGCAACAGCTGCAACGTAACAGTCCCCGTGAAATATTTTTAGCTCTTAGTTAATCAGCGAAAAACGAGAACCATTCGAAGCAACAATTAAAGTGAAAAGGGCAATAACGCAAAGGGAAATCGAAAGCGAAACAAAGAATGTTCATTTTCTTCAACGATATCAGGGGAAAATCCAATCAATCAAATCTGCGTGGTAATCAATTTTTATTATCATTTAGTTATAGACTGGTTAAATTTCAATGTTTTGTTACTTTTTGCACTGTCTTTTAACAATGTCACTGATGATTGGTCGTGTTTTTCTTTTTCTTTTTCTTTTGTGAATGCAAACCGATAATTTGGTTGTCATGCCGGGTTCCATGACAGTGATGACATAAAAATTATGTGTCTGATGTGTAACAATTATTACAAAAGTGGACCTCCCAGCAATAAATTCATACACGCAAAAAAATACCCAATGTCAACACTTCGTATTGTCTGTGGTTTTCTCAGGATGGTTCTAAGTGTAATGTATTTATTTTGTTTATACTACAATCAAGTCGATTTCCTAAACAAGAAAAAAGTCCCCCCACGATAACAATGCTAACTAGAAGTTTGACAAATTGAAAGGGCAGCGGAAAATACAACTGAAGCTGAGATGTGGTCATTTATCCACCAGGTCTCGGTTGTTCAAAGGCTGGATAGTGCTATCCACCTGATAAATCTCTATCCAGTGGATTGGATAGTGATTTATCCGGTGGATAGTGATTTATCCGGTGGATAGTGCTATCCAACGTTTGAACAACCGGGGCCAGTTTGATACTCTTGGCATGCTTGAAACGTAAATCGACCGGCTCGCTTCTGCCGAGTTATACGTTTTAAGTTATTTCTCGTGAGCCTCTCTATGGTTACCGACGGAAGCCGTTTTCTTCGCGCGTTTTCCTTCAATTCATCGTCGGTTTGTCAACGAAATCGCTCCGAATAAAGAATTTATTGTTTTACGTGTTAAGCAACCACGACGGACGAAGGAGGAAACAGCAACAGCTTTAATATAAAGCACAACAAAA